CAAAACTGTTTCTCGATGTTATAAGTGGTGATTAAACGCAAACAAAACATTTCCAGCGATCCGTACTTTAATAGCGAGATCTTATCGTTTTCGCACATACTTTGAAATGCGGTCAAACTGTTGGACAATCTAATGAATTTGTAGGCATCCCTCTCGCAGTTGTAGGAAAAGGCACGACAGGCCATATCCAGGTCCGTCACTTCGGCAACTAATTTGCTTTTATATTTATTTTTCAATTCATTCAATATAGTCATCATCTCTCGGAGACGAGTGCTCTCCCACTCGGCCAATGGTCTCTTGTCATCGATGAGTTTATCGATAATAACAACACCTTGGTCACAATCATTTGATTCACCATGATTGTGATGTACGATACCATCGCAACTGCTCTTGGTATCAGTTGTGGCCACCGATTCTTGGGACGAGTCGCCAGTGTCTGAATCGTCCGCTGGTTTGCAATTGTTTACACCGTTTACTTGTTTTCGTATTTTTCTCATTTGTTTTTGCTCTTCAGACAGAATATATTCCTATAAATTATAACAAAAAGTAATTACTTTTATATTTGCAAACATAAAGTAATCCAATAATTAATGAATACTTTTTTCATCCCCGAATCGAAACACTTCTGAAGCCGACATTTGCGGCACAACTTTCTGGTCGTGATATCAATACTACAATTGTCCCGAAGAGAGCACTTGTATTCCTGGGTTTGAAATAACATTTAGAAATATGTTTTAAAAATACATTTCTTTGTTTCAAACCTTAAGTTTGAGTGCATTTCTTCGAAAGAAGGCTTTACACGACTCACACGTAAAGACATTGAAGTTTTTACCTAAATTTAATTTATAAAATAAGATTCAATATTTAATTTTATAACTTTAATTAATACAGACATAGAATTAATGCAAAGAATTCCTGCGATAGATATGACATCTGGCCTATTATTTTTATACATTTACAATTGCTCTAAAAATATTATACTGTGTATAAAATTAATAATTTAGTAATACATTATGCAATATAATGTAAAATAGATAGTTTTAGTTACATAATCCTTTTTAATTGTTTATTTTAATTACAAATAAAACTATAATTAAATTAGACTTATACTGTACATGGATATTTTGCACTACATTAACAAAATCAATATAATGTAAAATAGATAGTTTTAGTTACATAATCCTTTTTAATTGTTTATTTTAATTACAAATAAAACTATAATTAAATTAGACTTATACTGTACATGGATATTTTGCACTACATTAACAAAAACTATTTACCAAATATTAGATAAAATATAGTTATAAATATAAAACTTTACAATATATAAAATAAACAATACCGGTAGCTTTTTCTTGACATATAACACAT